TAAACTGTAAAAGTTACAGCCACACTGTATTTACTGTTTAGTAACAATGTAAAGTTACTACCTATATATAAAGGCAAACAGGTTTGATACTATCCACATTTCAAGATCTAGGAAGGTCTATTTCCCACAGATAAGAGGTCACTGTAGTTGTCTGGGAAGGACAGAGAGTGAATCTGTATTTGACTGGTAAAGATAAGAGAAAAACATACTCAAGAAAGAAATCACATCTTTGAAAAGTTCAAATCAGATATGGCACTGTTTGTGAGCTCCTTGAGCTTTCAGATACAGGGAAGGATGGATTTGGTGGGGAAGAAGTCTCTGGGTACCTGGAGGCAAGAAGAAAACGATAGGCAGTGATGCAATCAAATCACAGAGGAGGGTGACTACCATAGTCCTGCCTGGTCTATACTAATGTCTCTCAGTTACTTTATGGAGAACAAGAACAGGCATCAAAATAATAAGGAATGTGTTTTGAAAAAGTATCATTACGATACTAATTGTTTTCTTCGTAAAATTTGATACAATGTTTTCAAGTAGCAATATGAATTTCATTTGAAGTTGAGAAGTCCTGCTCTCTAAAGTACCTCCTAGTTCCAACTCATTTTGAAGAACTGGTTTTATAGATGAATGGAATGAGGCTAGAAGAGATGACCCAATGGCGAGAGGCAGAGTCAGAACTAGACAGCTAACCTTCCCAGGCCCTGGTTGTGTTCATTTCACAACAGCAAGGAGCTGATGCTTTCCATTTGAGAGTGAAACAACATAGGCCAGAGGGAAACAGAGCTGGAAAAGCTCTCTGCATGTGTCCAGATACACACTCCCCATGGTGGGCTGTCTGTCAGATTCCAGTTCTGAGAGGTACAAGAAACAGGATGAGACACATGGGCTGTCTCCGGTCTCAAAGTGGGGAAAATATTACTGTGACCACATCACAATCTAAATCACAACAATATACAAATGCAGGGACACAAAAAGTGAAACACCAAAGCCCTGGGTGGGGGTATATTCTTAGCTCTCCTTTCTACAGAGATATTCTTTCTCCTATGTTTCAGCACATCTAAGCTATGGATGCTGATACAAGCTTTTATAGTTACATCTAGTCCTACATTCCTATTTGTCTATTAATGTCTTGATCTTTTCCATTAACTGATTTCCACGTATCTTTCTTAAATGTACATTTCTCACAAACTTTGAGACCATTTTATAAAAATGAAAGAACATTTTTTTCCTCAGTGATGTTCACACAGCTATAACTTCTGAGAACCATTTCTTGAGAGATGTTTTGGGAGTTGTATTCCGGAACATATTATCTTCACGGTCTTCCCCCTGGTAGGATGGAAAATGATCTTGTCTTGAGGCTCGCTCTGCATCTTCTGGTTCTAGCAGAAATTACACATATCCCACTCAGAGGAGCTACAGGAGTAGAAGATAATAAGCCATGGCATGGCACGCCTGGGAGTGACCATAGTAGCAACACAGACTCTCACAGGAGGCTGCACTGAGAAATTAGAGTGTGTTGCTACATTACTTGCACTGAGGATGTCTTCAGTGTTTGGAAGGGAAGGGTGGGCAGAATTAACAAGGCTTTTCTAGGTAAGGCGCTTCTCAGCCACTGAATAGGAACTTTACCTTCATCTGTGGGGGATTGAAGTGTGGAGCTCATCCTGAAATGGTAATAAACACCTAGAAACTGTCTTCTAGGTTGCTCTGCCATGGACTCATTCCAGCAGCCAAATGTCAAATGACTGTAGTGCAGTGTGACATAAAGGTGGCAAGTGAAGGAATTGGTATGGATAGCAATATGGAGGTAGAGAGGCAAGGGTGGTAAAGAGACTTGACTGGACTTGGGATTTTGTCAGGAGGAGAAAGGGTATGAGTGTGGCTATGGGGGAACGGACAGAGGAATTTAAGCAATGGATAACACAAGACAAGAGGGTGGGTAAATGAACAGATGCATTCAGAAAATGGCAAAAAAAAAAAAAGAATGAGAATTCGTAAGATACTAGGCTGGGGAAGGGTTGCAAGGAAGCCCACTTGCTACAAAAGAAATTGAAGTTCATTCTACAAAAAAATCTATTAGCTATGCACTTATTACTATTGCAGTACTACAAGTCTGTTCTTGTGTGTTGTGAGTTTAGGAAGGATGCTGGCACTAGGGTGAACTGAACATACAGCTGCCCAGGAGCTGGAGACTAATGTGAGTCCTTTGCAGGAGGCACAGTTTCAGAAACAGGAGCAACCCTGCCACAGACAACAGCTGAGGTGTAGGTCAGGGATGAACAGGGCCTCAGTTTTCTGTCAGCAATGGGAAGGCAGAGAAGGGAATGAGGCTAGAAGAACTAGATTCAATTTGTGGTGTGAGATTACCGAGACAAACAGAATTGTATTAGTTTATATGGCTCAGGGAAATTACTCATACTGTCCTGGTCCTGATGCAGATGCTACCCAAAAAGTCTGGCTGGTCTTAGTTATGATATACTATTGCTTTCATTGCTTTGGTGAATACAACTGCTAACTCATAAATCCCATGTATTTACATTTATTTTATTACTGGCAAAATTAGAGGTTTCCATCTTAAAATTTGATGTGATATTTATTTCTTCTCATATCATTCCCTCTCTTGTTTATCAGCTGCATGACTTTGAGCAAGTTACTTAACTGAGGCCTTTATTTCTTACCTATCCACAAGAAAGAAGTTGGACCTAGTGAGGGATGCTGGGACACAATGAGCTGGCAGCATAACAGTCAGCTTAGTGTCATCGCAAGCCTTTATCTCTATGACATATTTACAACAGGGCTTCATTTGTTTTATGTTTATATACCGTCATGTAAGTGTCGAAGCATAAATATCTGAAACAGAAAATGTACAAATTCTTTTGCTATATTTTACTTCATGGGAGTTACTAATTTATTAACCGGTTTCTTGTTTTTACTAAGAAAAAGGCCCATCAGATTTTAAACTGGAATTGCTATGTTATTAGGTTTGTTACTCTGCTTATTAGTTATTAAGAATACCTAATGAACATATCAGTTTGTTTCTGAATTCTCTACTTCTGCTGACTTTTCTCCTCTCATGTTGTGAGTCTGTAAAGCACTCTTTAAAAAGTTATCATTTCATAAGTGTTCTGAATCTGACAGGCCAGGTTTTCCATCGTAATTTCTCTGTACATGGTATCTTTGACATTTTGCTCTTTCATTTATTTACTTTTTAAAATATTCACGGCAGTTCTGTGAGGACATATAAAGTAATGCTGTGGCACCCTTACTGGACTCTTGCTAAGTTTATAAATTATTATAAGATATAGTATCATTTCTGCTATGAAAAAATGGTATTTATTTTTTCTAGTCAGGAGCAAGTTCATTTTCATTTCTTTACTCTTCCTTATCTTTTGCCATGGTGGTTTGTCTTCTTCATTTCACCATAAGAGTAGCAAAAAAAAAAAAAAAATCCACTCAATCTGGGTTTCAGATTCCTGGGCAACAGGCCTTCTCACATGTGGCCTTCTGGGAGCCACATGAGGGCAGTTCCATTACTGAGCTCTTCATTTACACTTGTGTATCTAAAATGGAGGTAAGTCTTTTTATCTACTATAAACTTGCAATGTCAGTAAATTAGATTGCCTTAGAAAGTTGTTCATAAGCAGTATATATGCCCCAGATTATGAAAAAGTTATAAACAAGGGCATGCTATAATGTAAATATAAATGTTTCTTTTTTGCTTTCAAATTAGACTGTAAAATCCTAGGGAATTTTTTTCTCTTGGTATTCACAATACATTACATGAATATAAGAAATAGCTGGTAAGCAACTTCATGTCAAGAGAGTAAATGATGACTAAAAACACACTCAGAAAGAGGACTGGCTTAAGGAATGGCGTGGTCTTGACTGAGCGGAGTTCATTCAGTCTTGTGTTACTGGTAGAATTTGTTTCATATCACATATAAACTTATGATTTAATAGTAATCAATTAATAGATTATTTTGTGTAGGGCTTGATTTGCAGAGAAATGCATTTTATATTAATGTGGTTTGCCTGCGTACCTAGACCTTTCTAGAATTGACTCCTTGGTATGTCACACTGCTGAAAATGAGACAGTAGCTGGGAGCTGAGGGAAACACGAAGTGGAAGGGAGGAAATTGCCACATGATTATCTAGCATTTGACTCCAGAGCTAAGAACCAGGACCACGACAAGATCACAGTAGTAACCACTGCCAGGCTAGATGCTACCCAGAAGCTTTCCACACACCACTCGACCTAAATTACAGGGGAACCAGAATAGCTTCTGCCTGCCAAAACCATGCTTCAGGTTTTCAGTTTTCTTCAGACCTTTCTGGCTGCCCAAATGTCTCAAGCTAAAACTCGTTTGGAGAAAAGAGTACCATATCTGTAATAAGGAAGAAGAATTTTACTTGGCTGCTTACACAAAAGAATGTTTTGTTTAGAATTACAATTTGTGGGAAATTATGAAGTATACAAACACATTCCATTGACTTGATATCTAAAGCATTCTCTAAAAAAAAAAAAAAAAAAAGTCATCTCAAGGGCTAACAATGTGACCTTGTCATGAGAACTGGCCAACACTCAAAACATGTGCACTGAAGAGTTCCTAGGTTTTCTGGTTCCCTTTAAACAATAAACTAGATGCAGATGGTTTATAGAGCAGAATGACCTTTTAATTGTCTGAATAAAAATGAACTTCTGAGATACAGCACTCTCAGTGTCTTCTTTGGATCCAAAAAGTATTTCAGAAACTCATTCCATATACAAACTCTGAAGTGAAGTCCCTGAGTCTTTCAATAAAATTTGTAGCCAGGCAGTAGTGGCACACGCCTTTAATCCCAGCACTTGGGAGGCAGAGGCAGAGGCCGAGAGGCAGAGAGGCAGAGAGGCAGAGAGGCCGAGAGGCAGAGAGAGGAAGAGAGAGAGGCAGAGAGAGGCAGAGAGAGAGAGGCAGAGAGAGACAGAGAGAGAGGTAGAGAGAGGCAGAGAGAGAGAGGCAGAGAGAGACAGAGAGAGAGGTAGAGAGAGGCAGAGAGAGAGAGGCAGAGAGAGACAGAGAGAGAGGTAGAGAGAGGCAGAGAGAGAGAGGCAGAGAGAGACAGAGAGAGAGGTAGAGAGAGGCAGAGAGAGAGAGGCAGAGAGAGACAGAGAGAGAGGTAGAGAGAGGCAGAGAGAGAGAGGCAGAGAGGCAGAGAGGCAGAGGCAGAGGCAGAGGCAGAGGCAGAGGCAGAGGAGGCAGAGGATCTCTGTGAGTTTGAGGCTAGCTTGGTCTACAAGAGCTAGTTCCAGGATAGCCATAGCTGCTATACAGAGAAACCCTGTCTCAAAACAAAACAAAACAATAAACAAACAAACAAACAAACAAACCTACTCCAATGGAACCTTCATAAAAATTCGTTGAAATAAAGTAGGTAGTTTTATTATTTTTCTTCCCCATGTCTTTTGTATTGCACAATTAAGTTAGCTAAGGTTCATCTAGAAAGCTATCGGACCCTATTCTAACCTGTTTTGTTGATTTAAATTTTTGTAATCATACCTTCTCAGCCGTGGTGCTGCTGATACTTTCGTTAGGTTGGGTATATTTTTGTTGTTTTCATTGACTCTGTACTTTCTAGTTTGTTTGGCAGAATAACTGGTGCCCTATTTGGCACGAGCTAACCCCCTGTCCAGCAGTTATAACAGAAATGTGTGTGGATGTTGCCAAACGTCCCCAGGGATGGAGAAAAATCATTGTTGGTTGACAATCTCTATAAGCTTTGTAAAATGCCAAAATATCTAGAAGAACCTGTCTTATTTCAGACACCACCTCTCATTCATAAAGGTTCCTTCTTAAAGGATATGAATTACCAGATGCATCTTCAGATACCATCAGGTTGCTCCCAACAAGACTGCAGGCAATGCCAACATATTTGTAAACTATCAACAGGGCTAGACTTACCTAGCTAGATGAGGGTGGGAACCTGGAGAAGCATGGCTTTCTCTCTGCGGAGCTACAGATCATGCATACATGAGCTCTGGTGACTCATAGTGCAGTTCATCAAAATCTGTTTCCTGTTTTTGTTTTTGTTTTTGTTTTTCAGGGAGCAGGACTGGCTTTCCTTATGACTGGCGAGTGTCTTGAAGTTGTGGCTGATGAATGGAGCAGAGCCCTATGCTATTTCCAAGCCAGTGCAGCTGCTTGGTGACAAGGGGAGTGAGTTTTGTTGTTCTTAAGGTGGCTGGAAATGCTTAGTATGAGGGGTATTATCTGTTTATCAGCTAGGGTCCTCACTGACTATCAATACTAGTACACTCCCAGTCATCTGCATAAACACATGGTATGGATAAGAAATACATTTTGTATTTTTAAGCCACTGTAATTTTAAGGTTTTCTCTATCTTAGAGTAGCCTAGATTATTCTAATTTAAGAGCTGAGATTTGACAAGAACTTTTAAAAATTATATTAAATCAGGGTTACTTTGGTTGAAACAGAAAATATAATGCAAAACTACTTAGAATTTGTCTGGCTTGGTGTTGTTGTGTACTGAAAATGTCTTTTTTCATCCCTTAATTCTTTAAGATTTTGTTTCAGAGTATACTTTTCTAAGCCTGATAAGATTTGCAAATTGTACTATTCTAATATAACAAACCTTTTCTGTCATTTGAGTAATATTTAGAGAACATTGATGATAAACATTGTGTGGGATTTTTTTCACTTCATATTTTATTTTGCTAATTTTCTTGTGAGGAGGACACTTCAATATGTAAGGAGTGAAATATGTTTAGGACATAAATTTGAGGGTTTTTTTTTAATGGTTTTCCATTTGCAAAGGATTATCAAAGGACATGGAACTGATTCACAGGAGTGAGAGGATCTGCTACTGACAGCTGCACCTCAGCCTTTCTTCAGTTCAATGCAGAGACATAGACCAATGGCAACAAAGATAAGGGCTAAGGCCTGCCCCACATCATAAGTTAGATGCCCACGTGCTTTATGCAGGCCACCTAACAGATGGTAATGCATTCTGATGATTACCAACAGAAGCAGGATGCAAAGTCATGACCCCAGAGGTGGAGAGGTCATACATTCAATTATAAGTTTCCACTTTCTGTAAGCATTAAGATGCTCAAAGCAATATATTTTGTTTACATAAAAACATTGTATAAACTATATTTGATAAGATAGATTACTGCTCTTTCCAACTTAAATCAAAGAATGCTTACTTAAGTGTTTTTTTTTAATTGAATCAGACTTTAATGTCGTCGTATAATCTTGGTTAACAGTGCTCATCTTGATTATTCTAACAAAGAAGAAATTAATACTTGAGGTGGAGAGCTCATGTCTCTCTATAAAAACAAAACAAATCAACCAACCAACCAAACAAACACTAGAAAATTCAAAACAGGTACCTGGGACATCTGTAAACGTTTCTCCAAGGACAGAGACGAGGAAATTGAGTCCTAAGTCCTTTAGCTGCATTAAAACCTTAAAAAAACTCTCTGGATCTTTGTCATGCTCCCTGTGAATAAACAGAAAACATACTTAGTGTTACCTCAGGGTACACGGTAAGAAAAGTGTTATGTTCACATAGTGCCAGTTCCTGTCAAGGAACTTGTGCTGGGGAGGAAGCCCCTCCCTGAATTATAACACCAATGTGGGAGTCATCTCATATCTAGACCTGCTCAAACAACCAAACTCAGCCCCACTGATGTGTTAGAAAATAAAAGGACCTTTTATTGGAGGGGAAGTCTGTCTTGTTTTGTATTTTTAAGTAAGACTAGGGAAATACAGTATTTTCCTAACAAAAAGTTCATTTTCCACTAAGTTTAAGCTTACTTAAATCAGACTGTAGCGAAGATGCTTTGCTTTTCCACAGGAATGAAGCCCTTTCTCCCATGGATACCCAGCCTCATTATGCTGACCAGGAGCACACAATTTAAAAAAGAGACTATAGCACCTTCCACTAATCTCTTATTTTCAATAACTCAGTGGAAAATTATAATACAATAAAAAGGATGGATAGGTCTAAATCTATCTATACTGTCAACTTAGAGAGTGGAGGCTAGTCAACCCATAAAAGAATCAGAAGAAAAGAACATAATTTCATTTAACACAGGCATGAAAAAATATCAAATGTTTTTGGCTTGTTCAGTTTGTTAGTCTTTTATAATGACAGAATGAGAGGTTAAAAGACATTAAAAGAAAAATATCCTTAACAAATCATATTCAAATGGAATAACTTTTTTACATTCTAAGGTGTGAATATTTCAGTTTTTCTTGCATTTAATTACACTGTTTTTAAATTATCTTATTTCAGACAGATGCAGACCAGATGTCTTCAAATATTTGTTTTTTATTTATAATTCAGAAATTTGATTTTTTTCATTACAGAAAGTAGTTATATACTAGCAATTGAATTTCTCATTTACTAATTATATAAAATAAATCTGTAAAATTATTAAACTGCTATATGAAATATGAAAATTACATCATTCAGGAAACCTCATGGAAAAAGACATCTGTACCCCTTAATGTGTTAATTCACAATTCAGTCAATATTTTCAGTATCATGAATCGAAACAAATGCATCTTCTAATTAACATTTTAAGACAGCATTTATAATCTTATGAAACTGTAAGATCTTATAAAATTAGAGTTCTCAAACAATTCGTTTTTAAGTGCCATGTCTCTCAGTTTGATTTACTTCAAATAATAAAGATGCAATGGCAAAATGTTCATTGCTTTTTAAGATGATGTGTATTATATACATGTACCATTGGGAAGTGTTTGGATAGTTTTCATATATACTACCGCTGTGGGCAAGAACAAAGACTCCAAACAGTTTGAGAGGAAAGAATATACCATATGCAGTCTTCAACCATATCAATCAAATAACTGCCACCTTATCTGTAAAATGCTCTTTTAGTCTGATTCTCTTGGAGATACTTAGATGAAAAGGATGGAAACAATATAACATAATATAGCTAAAAGAGAGAGTAACACTAGGGAAATCTAGCCACTCAGTTCTTTAAATTTTTCATTTGGAGTTCCAAAAATCTGGCTACAGATCCCTGGTATATCATGTATTCTGTGTATTATCTCTTGTGTGTGTGGGGAGGTGGGGTGGGGGGTGGGGGGCGTGTGGGCACATGCATAGAAACATAAAAAGAGATATAATTTGTAGGTGGGATGAGACTTAACTGGGTAAAGAGTGCAGTTCCTAAAACTTCCAGTATTTTTGAAGCAGTGAGATTTACAAACATCCATTTCCATTGCTTCTATACAAAAGAAATGTATTGTAACCTACCACATACTTTAGATATTCCTTCTAGGTAGACAAAAGCTTTAATATTCAGTAGTCATTTTGCATAAGAACACAAAAAGAGTGGTGTGAATCCTCTTTCATTTTGTTTAAATTACAATATACAGCTTAACGTAAAGTGGAAGTTTACTGATTAAAAGTTATCCCTCACACCATAGGGAAATTTTATATTCAAGACCTTATAAAAAGTGTCAAAACTCTCTATTCATTTTTGGGAACAGCCTGTTAGTCTTTAACTGGTGGGACTTTTGTATGATTTTAGCACTTCTTCGCTTGAATCTACTAGTAAAAGCAGACTCATAGGAATTAAACACTGGCATCCAATCATTTGGGGAAGTATGACCAAACAATTCTAAGTGCTGAGTGGTTTTGGAAACAAAACCTCTCCCCACAAAAAAACAAAAACAAAACACGACCATGCTGCCAACACACACACACACACTGATTAAGTAGTCACTAGAGATCATGAACAGCAAGCAGTTTTCTATAGCTGGAGAAGAGATTTCTAGTGATGCCATGCATGGGGCAGTTTCAGTCTTGTTCTTCAGTCCTTTTAGACAGAATGCCAGACAACAGGTAGTAGAAGCAGGCCAGTTGTCTGAATAAGGGCAAAGGCGAGCTTGAAACAAAATTGCTTCCTGAAGAAGTATAAGGGTAGGAAAAAAGCAACACTTCTCAAGGCATTCTTCATCATATATGCTTTACAGTATTTTATGTATGTAATAGTAGATTTTTACTATAGCTATAGTCTCAATTTTCAGATTTATGTTGCTCAAAGCTCAATATAATCAGTATCATGGATAGTTTCATGTCAATTTGACATAAGCTAAAATCACCTGAAAGGAGGGAGCCTCCATAAGATCAGGTTGTAGGCCAGCCTGTAAGGTATTTTCTTAACTGGTGATTGATAGTAGAGGGCCCAGCACATAGTAGGTGGTGCCAGGTCTTGGATTCTATAAGAAAGCAGGCTGAACAAGCCATAGGGAGCAAGCCAGTAAGCAGCACCCTTCCATGGCCCCTGCATCAGCTCCTGCCTCCAGGTTCTTGCCCTATTTGAATTTCTGTCCTGACTTCTTTTGATGATGAACATTGATATCAAAGTATGGGCCAAGTAAACCCTTTTCTCTCCAACTTATTTTTTGGTCATGGTATTTGGTCATGGTTATCACCCTAACTAAGACAATCAGTTTAGCTGAAAGGTTTTTTTTTTTTGGTTAAATGATAAACTGTCTAGCATTCAACCTTTAAGGGTTCCACATATAACAACCATACCTTACAACAAGGCATGAATGATGAATGAACAGCAGAACCAACTCCTGTGTCCTGCATGGGATGAGCTCCAGGCATCCAATGGGCCATGCAGTGCCTCTGATACTAAATGAACCCATTTAGGAGAACATGTCTTAGATTGCTTTCAAATAAGTCTAAACGTGAGACTCTCCTCCATGTGGTTGTAGCAGAAAGTATTACATGGATAGTGAAGGACCTGACAATGACACATCTGCAGATTAAACACGCTTTTCACAAAAGACTTGTCTCTAGATCCACATTTCTGTTCTCATGTTTCTGGTGGGAAATGGCTGATACAGTCTTCAGATGGCAATTTGCTAATGGTCACGATAAGCCTTAGTCTAATAATTACAATTTATGAAAGTGACTCTAAAAAGATGCACACAGAAATTCTGCTACAATATATTTATAACAGCATTACTTAAATAATCTAATGTGGTAGCAAATATATTTTAACACATAAAATTCTTAGCAGCCATATAATGTTGCATATGTGTGCTTCTGGACATGGAAAAATATTCAGTACTAAGTATTTAATGATCAGTACTTTTGAAAGAAGCATGAGTTTTTAATTATCTCCTGGTTTAGGACAAATAGATGCCCATAAATGCTATGAGGTTCATCTCTAAATTGTTAGGGTTCTGTGGCTTGTTTTCTGTTTTGTTTTTTATTAAGTTTTGTTTGTATAAATGATTTTGAACATTTTAAAGAACCTAGTCTCAATAGTCTACCACAGCTCTGTGTTCATAGGCTTTCTCCTTAACCATAACATTTCAGTACCCAGCTGTTCCATTTTGTTTTTCCCATGACCCTCTATGTTTGACAAATGCCAGACAAACTTGTTTTAATAAACAAGACATTTCAGTCAATGTGTCAGAGTCCAGGTTTCCTGATCACATCCATCCTACTGTGTAGGTAAGCACAGAACAGGCTGGCAGGGAATTCATCCCTCCATACCCCCACTACAGCAGAAGAGGCCAGCAGGGAAATATTTCAGGCTTCCTGGAAGCAGAAGATACGGCAAGAACAGCTTTTATTCCCAAATATTATTCAGAACATTTGAAAAGCATAAACTGTTTCCATGTGTTTTTTCTTCCTATATCTGTCTCTCTCTGTTGCCTTCCCCATTTCGGTTCAGAGAGCTAAATTTCTTCTTACTCCTCACTTAGCACTCATTCAGTAAATATTTATTGAGGATTTCTAAGTTCTCCATACTTGTCACTTATACTGTTACCATTTCTGATTTTCCCACGTAACTGTGTATATACTGAGCAGTCTCTTTGATCTAGCTCCTGCCTGGATTGGGGGAAACTGGCTCTGCCCAGAAGCATACTACTCTGCATCCAGAGCTCTGTGTGAAGGGCAGATGATGGGTGCTTTGTTCACTGGGTATCAAGTGCTGAGCTGAGCAATGGGGGACATTATTTGTGTTCATTAATATTCAGGTTTCTACTTCTGGGGACACAGATTCCTTATTTACTCCCTCGAGGTGGGTGAGGACCGGTTCCAGCCAATGGATTGCAAGCTGACTGACATATGTCACTATCAGATAAAAACATCTGAGAGAAGTTCTAGATAGCTTAGTAAATTCTGCAGAGATGTGTTGAGAGAAGCAAGCTCATGTTGTTGCATGGAGACTTGTTCCATATGCAGCTGCATACAAAGGTGAAAGGAGATTCTTTTGCCTAGCAATTGAATCCTATGGGGATGCAGAAGTGTTCCCTACTGCAGCAGAACCTAGTTTCCCTCAATCGGAGTACCATCCATGGCTCACAGTCAACTGCTCTATATATGTTGCACATTCCTACTAAGCACCCGATGACAATCTTAAACACGTCAACTAAATGACCATCAAATATAATCATTCCAGGATCAAAGACTACACAGAAATCTCACACCAGAACCCA